ACGAAAACATTTACAAAACTCTGCACTGCTCAGGCCCATCCCCACCACACACACTTCACAAAGTCATGAAGTTTCACTTTCACCAGAGACACCGAACTGAACCCCCCCGCACCCCAAACCCAGGGAACAGAGGCTCGGTGAAGGAGGAGAAGAAGGTGTAGAGATGGATCCGTTTTCCATTATAGAAGACCTCATGGAAGGACAAAGATCCAGCCTCAGTGTCCAGAAATACACCCACGATGCCATAGTCCAGACGCTTCCCCAACGAAAGTCCTTGTGGAGTGTAGATTTTTTTTTGTTTGCCGTTATGTTTGACGCTGAATTGTCCAGAACTGATCTGTAGACTCCAGGACTGATCATTTTCTCCAAACTTACTCTCCTTTCCTGTTCCTCCCCGTCTGATTCTTCTGTAACTCACTGCTATATCGACCCACCCTCTCCACTCCACCTCCCAGTAACAGCGCCCCCTCAGGCCAGTGGAGCTCAGGACCTGAGTCTGGTCTGTGAATCTGTCCTCATGATCTGGATACAACTGCTCCAGAAACACACTGGTGACTCTGTGTTTGTCCTCAGACAGTTTGAGTTTTCTGTGAATTGTGTTTGGGTCCAGAGAGAACTCACAGGAGTCTGAAACACAAACAGCTGAGTTAAAACTACAAATACAACAGGTCAAATTTAAAGAAACTTAGAGATGGTTCTACTTTTGTCTTTGACCTACAATATGATGTTAATTTATGATTTATAACAAAATAAAAACAGAAAATAATATTTTCTCTGGACTTCCCTTGAGTTTTCTCTTTCTGCTTTGGACTGAGGACTCACATTTTCTGGGACCTGGGACCATCCAACACTCTCCAGCAGGATCCAACCTGAAACACACAAGTCCAGTTTAGATCAGACCAGAGACCAGGATCTGGACCGACCATGGACCAGAGACCCACTGAAACAGGACCCACACCTGACAGACAGCAGGGGCAGTGTGGTCTCACCTGACAGACAGCAGGGGGCAGTGTGGTCTCACCTGACAGACAGCAGGGGGCGCTGTCCCGTAGAGCGTCAGGAGCTCTGCTGAGGGTCCTGATGGTTGTATCTCAGGTCCAACTCTCTGAGGTGGAGGGGCGGAGCTCAGAGCTGAGGCCAGAGCAGCCCCGCCCCTCTCTGAGACCAGACATCCAGACAGCCTAAAGACACAGCATTACACTCATGTGACACAAGGGGGCAGAGTGCATCATGGAGCGTCTACCTGAGCGTCTCCAGTCTTGCAGGGGGCGCTCTTCAGTCCAGAACACAGCAGCTCCACTCCTGAGCCTGGAGGTCGTTGTGACTGAGATCCCAGATGTGTGAGACTGGGAGCTGAGGACTGAGGCCAGAGGACCACAGCTGTGAGGGGACAGGCCACAGCCACAAAGACTGAGGACAGAGAGGGACATTAGAGACTAGAACGGGGGTGGGCAAACTAGTAATAAACCTTGTTAATGTTTCATTTTTCCCAGTAGAAGGTGCAATGCTTTATGGGAAAGTGTTCTTTTGGACTCTAGTGACAGGAGTCATTGTTGGTCGGTGTATTCGAACCAATGAGTGAGGCAGAAGTGTTCAAGACATAACACTGCACTGTTTCCATTCTGAATAGTGTGAAAGTAAAGTTAAAAGACTTGTGGACCTCATGTGCCAAAGTCTTCACACAGAGCACTAAAACGTACAACGAAGTAGAAAGTATTATAGAGGAAATACTTAGTTGGATCTGGGCTTGTCCTGGAGAGTGATGCAATCGCACGTTTTGCGAAAGAAAATATGGTGATGGCCACAACTCAATGGCACCCGGAAAGTATTTCAGAAGTTTTTGACTTTTGGACACATTCGCACTCAACTTTACATTGCAGTAACCGGGTTAGTGTGTTTACATGCAGCATGACTCAAAAAACCTGATCGTAACTGAGATACTGATGTTCATGTAAACACACTCATTATGAACAATGCACCAGATCAAACAGAACTCGTCGCTCACAGACTGACACACTGACACTGTTCTGTCCTTGTGTCGGTCGTTGTTGAGTTTTGGAGACGAACATTAAACAGAAGTAGATCTGCATCTTCTACAGTTTTTGAAATAAAGAGTCAGGAGAAGAGTGATGATAAGAAGATCCTGACGGAGAACAGAACTTTCAGTGCTTTTAAATAGAAACTGTTAGTAATTATAATAATACATTTTTTAAAAAGTATTTTATTAATTTAATTTTCAGTGTTTTAAAAAGACAGATATTTGTTGTGATATTTTGTAGTGACTTTCAGTTGAAATTCAAGCTCAGGTTTTCTACATATCTTATGTTATTTTTTTCTCTCCACTCCATCCATCTGCTCCTCGTCCGGCCCTTCCCTCAAATTTTAGAACCCTGTGTGGCCCCTGAGCCAAAAAGTTTGCCCACCCCTGGACTAGAACCTCCACACAAGAGTTTAAACACAGTCTGGACTCACAGGGCTTTGGTGGAGGCTCTGACCACCAGCAGCAGTCCCAGAAGAGCTCTCTCTGAGCGCTGGTATTTCCTCAGGTCAAACTCCTCCAGGTCTGAGTCTGAGGACAGTAAGACGAAGGACAGAGCAGACCACTCAGCAGGAGATACGCATCTATCAGAGAGACGTCCTTCTCTCATGTTCTTCTGTATCTGCTCCAGCAGACTGTGGTCGCTGAGTTCGTTCAGACAGTGGAGCAGGTTCATTCTTCTCTCTGCAGACAGACCCTCTTCATCCAGCTTCTGTTGTGAACTTTACTGTCTCCGATTGTCCGTTCACTTCCTGTGTGAGTCAGCAGACCCTGCAGCAGCCTCTGATTGGTCGGCAGAGACAGCCCCAGGAGGTAAGCGCAGAACAGGTCCAGGTGTCCATTTGGACTCTGTAAGGCCTTGGTCCACAGCAGAGCGGTAGAAGCTTCAGGTCTGGACTCTTAGAGGAGTGTGGTGTCTCCAGCATGTTCTCTCCAGAGCTGAAGAAGGTCTGATGACGTGAAGAGCAGCCAGAAACTCCTGCACACTCAGATGGATGAAGCAGTAGACCTTGTCCTGGTACAGGCCTGGCTCCTCTCTAAAGATCTGTGTGAACACTCTGGAGTACATTGAGGCCGCTTGCAGCGTCCAGCCACACTCACTCAGGTCACTCTCGGTAGAAGATCAGGTTTCCTTCTGCAGCTGCTCAAAGGCCAGTTTTCCAGAGACTTCACCATCTCCCTGGTCTCTGGATCCAGTGAAGGTCCTCCCCTGATCCCTGGTGAAACTGAAGTTCTGGACTTTGGCCTTGCACCACCAGGAAGTGGACGTACATCTGTGTGAGAGTCCGGGCAGCTCTGGTTTCTCTGTTTGTTCCAGAGCTTCTGTTAGAACTGTGGAGAGGATCCAGCAAAGATCGGCATGGCTCATGATGGGAGGCTGCAGACGCTGTTGACGTGGGAGATGACGGCTGTGGCTGGTCTCTGAACCTCTTCCTGAAGTACTGTCCTTCTGCAGGTCGGTGAACCCTCGACCTCTCCATGAGACTCACCAGCAGGGATATGATTGGCCGCGCGGGGCGCGTGGTATCAGAGGCGAGCGGAGGAAGCAGGCTCCCCCTGATGAGGTTCACCAGCAGCACGTGCACTGAGGCAGCTTCTGTGGGGTCGGGTCAGCCGGGTTCGGCCGAAGTCCAGAGGAGTCTGCACTCGTCCAGACTGTCAAAGAATGAAGGCACCCTGGGAGCTGTTGGAAGCGCAGAGATCTTTGGATGGACTGAAGA